TTCCTGTTTAATTTCGGTTCATTTGCTTCATGGCTATGAATTAGGTTGCCTCTGGATACTAAAAGTTCAGGACCAATTGTAAATACAGTGGCATTACAAGCATTTGTTTTTCTTTGGGAGCATCTCCAAGAAACTTCTCCACTTTTCATTTCTCTATCTTTGGCAAACGTAAAATTCTCCAAAAGGAGTACATCTTTCCCGCGTGTGCTTTTAATCAATGTAGCTGACATTATAGAAATAATTATTGTTTATAAACACTCGAATTACAATCATCAACGTATAAAAACTGACTGAAATATAAACAGTAAACACCCAAAGTAAGTACCTATTAGAATTAATAATAATCAGGTAGGTACCTATTTGTGGGCGGATGTTATTTTGCGGGTTTAGGTACCTGAATGCTACTGTGGGCAAAATACCAGTAAGATTAACGCACCCCTTTACTTACACAGGTAGAAAACAGAGATTTGTGGGCAAAAAGGACCCGCCGAGCCATTTTAGCTATCTATATTACCTACAGAGTCAACCGTCCGACAAATTAATCGCCCATCCATCATACAAATCATTTTTTAACGATTTCGTATAAAAGATAATTATGTAGATGTGAATTTACAAATACAGCGTGCAAAAATTACCAAAATTAAATTCCCTATGTATTTGAAACCCACGTTATTTCGTCTTCCGTTTGCAGTTTAGATATATCGAAACTTTACTCCGAATGGTGCACGTGTTGAATGATCGAAACATGGAGGAAAGATTATTAAGAGTTGCCGTTTCTTTGTAGAAATTTGGCAACATGTTTGCTTGCAACGACCTGTGGGGTGGAGGAGTAGAACTAATCTTACTCTGTCGGTAATGTAGTTACCAGCAGTATTACCATCAACTCTTACTCTGTCGGTAATGCAGTTACCCGTAATTTTATATTTAATTTGAACATTGGCGGGTTTTTTTAAAGGAGAATTTACTTTTGCAATTATTTTCTAACTAATACGAAATATAGCCTTACAAAATTTTGATAGTAATTTTTTTAATTTTTTAGTGAAATAAAAAACATGTACGTGTAGCTAAAATATGTTCCTCTGGAGCCACTTTTTCAAAATTTAATCAAATTTTGATGGCAATAAATCGCAAAATTTTGTTTTTATAAAGATTTCAAAAATTGACAAAATAATTCAATCAAATTTCGGAATAGTGGCTCCAGAAAAACGGACATTTCACTTTTACCTGAAGGTATATATTTTTCATTCACTAAAAAGTAAAATTAAACTATAGAAATATTTGTGGCTCTATTTCGTATTGTTTAGAAAAAGATAATTGCTTGAGTAAATTTTCCTCTTAATTATAATTAAAATTTTCCTTTTTTATTAGCTGATTGTAACAATTGTGAAATGCCCAAAAAAAATGTAAAATTCTATGACAAATAATTATGAGGATAAAATAAATATCATACAAAGTTTTATATAATTATATTTACTAAAAATTCCCAAGAAAAATAAATAAAAAATATATCAGAGATGGCAATACAAAAAAATATTTTTCATGCACTTCACCCCCATACAAGCGAGCTTATGCGAAGCAAGAATGTCTATTATTATTATTATTATTATTATTTACTATGGCGCTCCCGGACGTCTTATAAATGATTCTTTAAGAAAGTTACTCTAATATCACAAACATTACATTACTATTTCGGTACGTTAACTATCTTTGGCTAACAAAAATCAGAAATTGCATAACAAATAATTAATTTACTTGACATGAAAACTAATGCCTAAGTAAATAAATTTTTAAAATAAACAAAAAACAAAACAACAAATTCTTCTTGAATCTTAGGAAATCAGACAAAAGCAACCATCCATATAAACTGAAACAGAAAAAAATTAAATGCAGTAACTTCAAATCATTTTGTTTGTCTTTTAGACATTGCAGCAGCCCTCATACTATCATTATAATACTTTCTTATTATTAATAGTAGACAAGTTTCAACTAAATGAGAAAAGACGTCTGTTTTATGTTCTTTATATGTAAACCAGAGATGGCTTGTGGCCTAGTCTGTGAGGAAGCTGGCTCATCCTATATACTTTATAAAAATATATATTTCTATTATGTAATATTTCTGCTTTTTGAATTCTTATAGACATATATTTTTATTAATTATATAGGGTGTGCCTTTTAAAAGTAGTCTCCTCATAGACTAGGCCACGAGTCGCCTCTGATCTAAACCATTTAAAATCAACATGGTCTGGCAAAAAAGTTTAATTTTTTGAATGTTGTCAATATGACCCAAAAGTTGTGAAACTATTTCAAGAATTTTTGAAAGAAATACAATAACATTTCTTTGTACATAAATAAAACGTCTTTTATCATAATTTTCTTTAAAATAAGTAAAAGTATCGATGGTCTTCTAACATGTCTGTAAATTAACTTTACACTCTTTGCAGTCAAAACTATTAAGTTTCTTAATGAACCCTGCAACATAACTAGTAGCCTGACTCAAATTCTGCTTCATTTTTTAATTTTATATATATTATTAAAATGAACTTTATCCTCACAGGACTCTGTTTGGAGGTGTGATAACAATATTACTAAGTACTACTATCTTTGGTGTATCTGGTTTTGAGGATGCTAAAGCAAGGTAAAGCAAATCTTTTAGCAGTCTTGAACGATTTGTGTTTGTAAACAATTTTGTATCAAAATATGATTTTCTCATAATATATAATGATTGGGGTTGTAAGTGGAATGTTTAAAATACGACACCATTCCGTTCTTTGATCAATATCAGAAGGAAATTTTAAAATGTTTGTTCTTAAAATTTACGTTTGGAATGGGCCTTATAAAATTTACTATAACCATTAGAAATTATGCGTTTATAATGAATTCTGCCTGGTAAAGACATGTTAAAGCATCAAAATACCTTTACTTGATTTTAAATAATCCTAAATAACTTATATCTAAAAAAATAAAAGTAGTTCCACTCACATGTTTTCGTCGACAACCAAATCATGACATAACCACACATTTGTTTGATTTTGATGTTATTTATTGACAGCGCGCGCGGGGCCCGCTATAGCGGGCAGCCAGCAGTCATGCAGCGGACAGAAAGCCATCTTCACATAGTACAAATAACTAAGTGAAGGTATGTTTTTTTTAGTTTGTTGTAATATATGAATTAAAATTTTTGAAACAACACTTTTTGTGTGTTACTGAACGAGATGTTATTAAATTAATCAATGTGCTTTACATTTTAATACAATTTCGCTATTGTAAAACGGACTTCAGAGCACCCAAGCGCGGAGGAGTATGCGCAGAAACGTGTTTACGTATTGTGCATATGATATAAACCCCCGTGGATCGAAAATGGTTGGTAACGATACGACTTGCTTGTTTTTAGATCTATCGACGAGTGCCTGAACTAAAATGTTTGGCGCGTAAATTACTTGAAATTTCAGCTTGTATTTTATTTCTCAATTTTCTCCGTTATTACACTAATTTGAGAATTGGTTTCAAGGTAATTGTATTTGATTATTAATAGAGTATTTGCTTGACCCCTTGAAAAAATCATATTACATTTTTTTATTTTTTCTTATTTTTCTTATTAGTAATTTTTACTTTCTCATTCCCAATTTAATATTTTTACTATCAATAAATTGTGCCACCGCCACCTATACTCACTTTCAGTAAATAACACCTTTTTTAGTACACTATTTATCCGCTAAATTTAAAATTTACAGTTTACTGCACTAATTCGTTAAAATCTAGATAGATGTCATGGGAGTCTGATAATCTCATTTTTACTTTTCATTTGTAATTAACGTTATATTCTTTAAAATTGTTTAACTGTTTGTGCTTGTAAAATCTATTTTGTGTTGTTTAGTTAATAATTGTCTTACATGTGTTTTAATTATTAATTTATTCAATCAGACATCTCGCGGTTTAACCTAACCTAAAAATATTTTTTAAAAAATACTATTGTAGATATTACATGACTTTTTTAACTCGTTTGTTAAATTTTATGTAGCACTTCCTTTATGGAAATAGTCAAGGTGAGTCAAGGTCATTGTTTAATTTTCTTTTGTTTTTTCTGTTATTTTGTATATGTTAATGTCCGTTCATACTTTTATAATTGTTTTTATTACAACTGACTCCTTGACATTCCATTTAGGTGTGTCTGATGATGAAGTAATAGCTTCGAAACCGGTCGCCAATTAAAATTGACTTGTGAGAAATAAAGGACCTTTTCTTTAACCCCTTATACTTAATCCCTACTAATCACATATGGCTACCATCACTCCAAATTTATTATAATTGTTTAAACTTTTATTTTTATTATTATCAAAGTTACATTATTTATATTGGCGTCAGCAACTGCTCGGATTTATTTCAAAAACGTCTACAAAATTTTAGTTCTCTAATTTGTATAGTTTTCAAATTTATTAGAAAATAAAATTAAACGCAATTAAACTCTCACCTTATTGAAATTTTCCAACAAAGCGCATGGTTTTTATGTAAAATGCGAAAAGCCACAAAATATACACATTTGTTTTCTATTGCGCGCTCTAGTGGCAAAAATATGAAATATATACAAAAATGTATACAGACATAATCAATAGAAAATTGTTTGTTCTTTAAAAAAGTCCAGTAAACTTTTTCTATGAGTAAATTGGTAAAAATGTCGAAAAATGTATATATCCATTTATATAGAGCATTCAATATAAAATCCGGTGCACGTCAGAGATGACGTCAGTGACAGTCATTGGTACCACATACACAAATATAAATAATTAAATTTTATTTTCATGGTGGTTGCCAAAGAGTTTAACGACCAGGTACAAAATCTGACGAACGTGTTAGGTACAAAACCATGTTTTTTTTAATTTTATCTCAATATCCAGATTTCCTAGTTTTACATTTTTTGTGATGAAATAATTCTGTGGTCGTAGGAAAAATAAAGTATATCATTTGTAAAAAAATAATTTTCTGTAACTGTAATGTAATATATTATTAAATTGTTACAAAAAAATGTGATTTACATCATTTAGATGATACATGGCATGAATAACAAATATAATGGTTGCGAAAGCAATAATAACATTCATACATTGTTTTATTTACATGAAAACATTAAACAAATACATTTCTTAAGTTCAAATACTAATACAGCCTACAAAAGTCTTGAAAATAGTTGAATAGATCGGAAAAGCATATACTCGTAAGTACTTACAATTTTTGATGCTATAAAAAATACTTTGTTTCTTGCTCCTAAATTAACAAAAAAAAATCACTAAAAAACATATCACAGATATCGGGGTATTGGAGTTACAATGAAGTAGTAGTTTGAACTATTGTTAATTAAGAATCGATTTGCATAAAGTCGAATAAATCCGAAACAACAATAACTGCCTACTGCTTGTTGATAATACAAATTCATTTAGAAATGTAATTATGCATTATTACCACGTTTGTAAAAACTTATTGTCGTACGCATTAGTCCTCGATCCATATTCCTTGATTTAAATGTACCATTTTCACGAAATCTTTCTATATTTTACAAATTTTTGGCGATTAAGAAGTTCTTTGTGCTGACATCTCTTTGATACATTCCTACGATACGTCATATAACTGGACGTACAGTTATAAAATCAAACTATTTATCTCTTAAGGCAAAACTTCTCTGGTATAAAATATACTTCGAATTAATTCCATCTCTGCTTTACAGCCTGTTAAAAATTCCAATTTTTTTTAGAAATACTTGAGACTAATTAGTTTGTTGTCTAGTCACTTACTTTGGTATATTATTCAACGTAAATATTGCAATTATTTCTGTATTATTATAATTTGTAACTACCACTAAATTACCTTCATGCAACATCAAAACCAAATGTATGCTTTGTTCTGTAATAAATCACTAAATAAAGACCGTGAAAGAATTATACAAATTATATTATCCCTTAGTCAGGTGCGCTTAAGGTACGCCTGAAGTACGCCTAAAGTACGCCTAAAGTACGCCTAAAGTACGCTTGAAGTACGCCTGAAGTACGCCTAAAGTACGCCTAAAGTACGCCTAAAGTACGCCTAAAGTACGCCTAAAGTACGCCTAAAGTACGCCAAAAGTACGCTTGAAGTACATTTGAAGTACATTTGAAGTACGTTTAAAGTACGATTGAAGTACGCCTCAAGAATGTAATGTATCAACATTTATTTCAGTAAAATAGTTACAAATAAAACATAAGAGCAATACTCACATAAAAAATCTTATGTGGGGATTCTATATTATAAGCAGGAATATAGTTCCTAGGATCTGATTAAGAATTAAATGTATCTACCACAAATCAATTCTCAACTAACTACTAAATACAAAAACAAAAAAATATTCATATTTACCTACACAAACGTATACAAAGTTCGTGTTTATTTTACTTTAACTACTAGATTCTAAACTTGTTAATTCCTGCAATCATTTCGACCATTTTTAAGACTTATTCGAGTAGAAGAAGTGAATGAATCTACTGTGTTATTCATGTACGCGTCTCTTCTTCTAATGTGGAGCTTTTTTAAAAAATCATTGTAGATCGATTTCTTGCAGATGAATATAATGAATATATACACACCTGAAAAATAAATAAAAACTATTGAAACTTTAAAGTTTTTGGTTGCATGTTAACAATAAGTTCATTTAATAAGTTTCCATATAGTAGGGCATATTCGAGGCAGATTCAAACTTGCTGAAAATCATTAATAAATGTTTAACAAAATTGCATTTATATTTGTAAGATTGCAATAAATTTGCAGTAAATGTATTTTGTTTCGTGAACATTTTGTTACCATGGAATTAGTAGTCAACTTTATTACTTAAATTAGAAGCACGGCAACACTGCATCGGATAGAAAGCAACTATCTTATGTAAAGTGTATGTATGTAAATTTAAAAAAATATAAATGCAAATATTTACATTATAACTCAAAACAAACATCTTTAGATGACTAATTTAATAAACTTCCTAGTTATGATTGATTCAAGGTAACGCCAGACACAATTCAATGTTTTTGAATTCAAGTGAGGTACTAGTATGGACTATGAATCGACACTTCTTCATTTTGGTCTTTCGAGCCGGATCAAGTATGATAAACTTTTGTTGACATCGTAAAGAAGCCGTAAAGTAAATAAAAAAAATATTTTTTTAGGGATGTAAAAAAACAATTCAGCTCTGAAAAAATTAATTCAATGTTATTTATAATGTTAAAAACCAGTTACAACCGGATTATCAAGGGTTGGCTTGTAGGTAACAATAATTTTATTTGTTTCTTACCTTGCAAGCAATTAATACAGTCAACAACTATTTCGAAATTACTCCAAAACGTTCCAAGACTATGAAAATCAACAAATGATGTTACCGTATCGAAGATGAACGTAACTCCCATGATTACTGCCAGCTTCAGAATTAAAAATAACCTAAAAATAAATACAATTTCAAATTATATTGTTTTAAAACAAGTACATGTGTTGTTTCGATTAATATGCTTAAAATATGTTTTGCAGATGGCAGTGATTGACAGGAAAGCATTAAAAACATTAAACCTATCATAAACTGCTTCCTGTATATTATACAGTGCTTCTTAAAAGTCCACATCTTATCTCCTTTCTTAATATATAGACTGATAAAATTTGGAGAATGAAAATGAACTATTTTAACCTTCTCTACTAATGGTAACAGGTGACTGAAACCAATAATATTAAATGGGACTCTACGGTACACAACACCTCGTTTAAAAGGTATTTAGAATACCTATTAGTGTTTACCATAAATCAAAACATGATTAGAATGACTGAATAGGCATTATAACTACCATTCAAACGATCTGTCACTTGCAATAATTTTATATTTAATATTTTTGGTTTCAGTTGCCTTGTAAAGTCATCGATGACTATTAAGTCACCTGGTATAGTCTATTTTTATGTATGAGAGAGTAATGAAACAGCATTTCTAATGCAAAACTTAGTACGGTCATTTTAAATATTTTTACAGAATAATCTAAATATTTCCTAAAATTGTAATAAATGTACCTAAGCTATTACAAGTTTTGGGTCTTTTATTGGTCCTTTATAAACATAAGCTGTACAGAACAATAGAAAAAGGTTTGGACAGGTCAAAAGCCCTGTGTATTAAAGATTACATAGCTGTATCTTAAGATTATTTTCAATAAGTACCTATTTGCCAATTTTGTTTTATTTTAATTCCAAAAATTTCTTACAGTTATCGAATTATAAGTAGATAAATACCTTCCCAACAAATTTCACCGAAAATGTTGATAAGGTTTTCCATTTAGTAAGGAGGTCCAAGTTGTGTATTGTGTATTCTTGACAGTTTACTAAATGTCGTTTAGTTGCAACTTGCAAGGTGCAGTGTGAATTCTAGTGTGATCATGGAAAATTTGGAAGGGCGCGTAAACGACAAAAAATCGGTCCTTTAACAGTTAATGAAAAAACATTAATATTTAATTGTTTTAAATCATTTACAGATAAACATTTATGTAAAAGTGTTGATGACACAGTGGAATTAGTTAGTAGTACGCTTGGTGTTTGGAAATCTACGATTTACAGAGTTGTTAAAGAAGAGAAATGTGGCGAGTTTCAAACAGCACGTAAAGCTCCAGGAAAACCAAAATTTCAATTAGAAAATCTTTTGAAAGAAAGACTTCGAAGGAAAGCGCATGAGTTCTTCTTTAGAACAGAATTTTCGACAGTAGACAAAGTTCTTGTCACGGTTCGAGATGATAAGGATTACCCTGAAATGAGTCGAAGCACACTATGGAAACTTTTAAAAGAAATAGGTTTTCTATGGAAAAAGCATTCCAGAAAGTCTATTTTAATAGAAAGAAGCGATATTGTAGTATGGAGAAGAAATTACCTAAGGACTATAAAAGAAATGAGAAACCAAAGAAGAAATATATTTTATTTAGATGAAACATGGATCAACGAGGGACATAAACCAAATAAATTTTGGCAAGATGAAACTGTTACATGTCGAAGACAGGCTTTTTTAAATAATTTATCTACTGGTTTAAATCCACCATCAGGAAAGGGGCGCAGACTAATAATAGTACACATCGGTAGTTCAAACGGTTTTGTTAAAGGTGGTTTATTGACTTTTGAATCTACTCGTACCGGTGACTACCATGAGGACATAAATGCTGATGTCTTTAAAGAGAGGTTCGAATAAATTATAGATCTTCTTCCTCAGAACTGTATAATAGTAATGGATAATGCAAGTTATCACTCGAGACTTATAGAAAAAAATGCCCACAACCAAGTGGTTAAAAAAAGATTTACAGAATTGGCTAAATTCAAAGAATATTAAGTTCCATCCCGGTTCTGTGAGAAAAGAACTGTATCATTTGTGTTCCCTTCATAAAGAGAAATTCAAAAAATATGAAATTTATGAAATTGCAAAAAATCGTGGGATGACGGTGGTTAGATCACCACTATATCATTGCGAAGTAAACCCGATAGAACTGATATGGGCACAGATAAAGGGAGAAGTTTCAAGAAAAAATAATTCTTTTAAAATGAGTAATGTTAAACAGTTGTTTTTGGAGGCTGTAAATAATGTGAAGCCTGAAAACTGGGAAAAGGCAGTAAATCATACGATTAAAGAAGAAGAGAAAATGTGGAAGTTGGACAATATTACTGATGAAATGATCGAGCCACTCATTGTAAATATTGGTTGCGACAGTTCATCTTCTGATTTCGATTCTGATTTGGATTTGTAGGTAAGAAGTAGTTTTTATATTAAAATTATTATTTATGAACGTAACGTTGTTTAAAAGTCAAAGTTTAAACCCTTATACCTACATAACACGTTTGACACAATGTTCTTAACATACCTGGTGGAAAAATAAAACATTTTATAAAAAATTGCACTTTTTCACCTTCAGCTGTTTAGAAGTTACAAGCAGGTTAATTAGGTGAAAATATAAGTGTACTCGAGGAATAATTTCAAAAAATATTTTAACTGTCTACTAAAAGAAGTGCTACGCCTATGGATTACGAACGTTTTATTATTTTAATACTCTCTCATACATAAAAATAGACTATAGAACAAGCAGATAAGCTTAGAATAGTTCTAAAATCGATAAATAATACTGGAAAACAATTAAATTGTACTCACTTTTCTTTATCTCTGTTAAATTTTAACTTCTTCTCATCCTTGTTGTCGTTGATTCTCTGAATTTCATTTTTAATTCTAATACAGTACAAGATAGTTTTCATGAAAAGGAACGCATTGATTATTTGGATTAAGAGATGTGGCATTCGCAGGAATACAAGTTGGGCATGATTTCCTGGTCCTAAAAATGAAAAATTATTAATCTTCCTACAATCCCTACTCTGTCAAGTTGTTCATAGAATTTAATAACATATGTAGACTGGACTTGAACCTGATTTCTTATGATTTAAATTAATCGATGCACATGATATACCTAATAGAGTTAAACTTTTAAACATAAAATTAATTCCAAATGCAAATAATACAGAAAATCAAGCAGAAAAATGCAATCGTGACTAGAAGAATTAGCTAAACAAGATTTAAGAAAAACGCGTTTCCAAAATAGCCCCATTTTCTAAAATAACCAAAGAATTTGCTTTTTTAGGCTAAAAATCTCTTCTGGTTCCTAAAATAAAAATGGTTCGCACTTCACAAAATGGTAAAAATTATACCGCGTACAGAAACTATACGAAAGAAGCCTTCCAAAGCGTCTTACGTGATATTCAGTATAATGGTCTGAGCCTTGATAAGGCTTCTAAAAAATATAGGGTGCCAAAGTCTACTCTAGCTTTACGAGCTAAGACAAAAAGCACTTTTCCTATAGCAGGAAGCGACGAAGAAGAAGTGTTGGTTGAACATCTGAACGTGGTTGCTTCCTGGGGCTTTCCGTTTGACATTACTGACTTGAGGATATTAATCAAGTCTTATCTTGACAGAAAAGGCCGCAATGAACGGAGGCTTAATAATAATCTACCCGGTCGAGATTGGGCTTCAAACTTTTTGAAGAGAAATAAAAAGTCAATATCGAATCGATGGTAAATAGGCAAAATTTGGACATTTTCTTTGACAATGCCCGAGATATGTTTAATACCGCAGACCCATCTCTAATAATAAATTTCGACGAAACCAACCTGACTGACAACCCAGGGACAAAACTGCAGATGGAGAACTTTTGCCTGAATATGTAGTCTACACGGCAGATCACATGTGGACCTGCAGGAGCGCGTTACAATCGGTCTCGAAGTGGCTGGTTTGATGCCGTCTGCTTTGAGGATTGGTTTTATACAGAGATAACAAGGGAGATATAACTACTCATTCATAAAATAGAATATCTATGATGCCAACATCAAATTAGTCAATTTGGCGATCAGGAGAGGAAAGACGTGATGTGTGAGGTAAGGGAGGGGATATACTGCAGGACTGAAGGCCGTACACGTTTGTTAGTCGCAGCGGAGTTTAAATAAATTGCATTGGCGTACCCCAGGAACGGGATAAATTAAATTATTTAAAAATATATGTTTTTTTAACCCCGTAAAAATTTTTGTATTTTAATATAGATATATTGAGCAGTAGTACAAATATGTTTTCTGCAAAATTCGTTGAGTTTTTAATTCATTAACGATATATACATTTAGAAGACTTTTAAAGGCATCTTTTTTTACAGATGATAGAAATTTGTATATATTTCTAATATGCACCAGAGTTTAATCGGGCCGTACAAAAGTTATCTAAATAAAAAAATTGAAGCTAATTAAAAAATATACGATAATAAATAAAATAATACTATTTCTATAAAATTTGCTGTCGCTAATTTATAAAAGTCACTGGTTCTAAATATCCAGGGTTTGTTCTTAGATCAAACAATAATTTTTTTTAGTCCACATGGATATTAGCTTATCTACGTACAGAATACAAAACGAAAAAGTATGCTATTGCATTCATTTAAACGGATATATTTCATATCTATTCTAGGTAGTTCATATTTTGGTCACCCAATACTATTCTTTTTAAAATGTTAAATAAGTGACAATTGTGTCAAACTAATCGTCAGTATATTCAATTATTGAGATTAAATATACATTAAAATGAGTTATTTTTGTGTCGAATAGATAAATAGTAAATATTTTTTTTACATAAAACTAAGAGGCGTCACACTATAAAACTCAAAGAAAATAATAATGTAAATATTCTTTTAAAATCCATGTTCAAAACTATCTGCCTCAATGTGTAAACTGTTGGTATTTCCAATGAATCAATCAATCCCTTATTTATAAATAAACAATTTATATCCTATTTCCTGGAATTGTTTTAATCCTATTTTCTATATCAAAACAAAAATAGAATTCTAAACAGGTAGGTAATCAATATGTATTTATGGACATATGTAAATAATCTTTATAAATACATAGATTATAGTTTTAAGAGAGTATTTCTTTTAAATTAGGTTTTAAGTGTTTATCAAAATAGTTCATGAAAATTCTACCTGAATGCAATAGCTAAAAATTACAAGTAAAATATTTATTCCTATTTTTTTTTTTTATTTATGAAATTGACAGTAATGTTCTGAATTATTTCTAAAAAAAAAATTGTACCTATTTAAAATTAAGTGCTAAATATTATTTTTGCTGTTTTGATAGAATAATGTTTATCCGCTGAAACAAGGGATTTCAAAGAACTAAAATATACCGTGTGTTCAAATTAAAGTGTTACAGCTAAAGACCGCCTATTATAAAAGAAACGTATCAGACGAAAGTATTATAGTTTTGTGGGGAAAAAGTTTTGGCTAAAATCGTTTTTTATAGCTAACCATAATATGGTCAACTTTTTTTTCGTCCAGCAAAATTTTCAAGTAGCTGTTACTCAAAAAGTAAAAGTCGAACAAAAAAAATATTTCCATCAAAAGTTTCTTATTTTTTTATGTACTTTAAGAATATGAAAAAAAAATAATGGGGTTCCAATTTAATAAACAAAGTCCATCTCGATATGGCCATAATATGGTCAGCTATAAAAAAATGAAATTAGCCAAAATGTTTCCCTCAAAAAACTATAAAACTTTTGTCTGAAACTTTTTTTCTAAGATACATATTTTCGGCGGTATTTAACTGTAACACTTTAATTTAAACACCCGGTATATTTAGAATTTTTGCTTCTTAATGTGATTTATTTATTTAATTGATCCTAATGTACTAAATTATTAGTAGGTATGAAATTTTTTTTTTAATTTTGTGATAAAATATTGCATGCTTTCTGCTGTTTTGGTAAAAATTTTATCCATGGAAACGCGAACCTTTAAACAAAGTCGATTGTAGATTTCTCAAGATTTTTTTGTACAGTGAAATAACAATAATTTTTTGACATGCCTAGGTACTAAAAACAAAAGTTTTGCCAAATAACATTACCTATGAAACTTTTTTCAATTAAATTGAATCATTTTAAAACCCGTTTTAAAGAGATTTAATAAAAAATGCAGAATTTTTACACAAATTCGATTTTTACATAAGATTAACTAGGTACTTTGAGATTTTTAGGAATATTCCCAGTACCAATTTTAAAATTTCGCATCTTCTCCTGTTTTGTTAAGGCTAATTAACAACCATGGTTAATTCAAAACATTAATAATACTAATAATTTAAAAATATATAAGATACTTTTCGTAATTGGTACGTCTATGATAAGTAAATTCTAACCTATAAATACTTACATATGAAACGAAGAATTTGGGTCCAATTTGTCTTGTTTTTTACAAATTTTGCACTGTTTCACCATTTTTAAAGTTTGTATGTTAACAAAATAATGGGAAATCATTTTCACAAGAAAAAACTGAGAAAATCCGATGAACAATAACACTAAACAATCTCTACAACGCCAACTGTCAAAACAAGTTGATGGAATTATGAATGAATATTTTATATTCCGTTGTCTAACGGCCATATGCACCATTGTCCAGCTAAGTCCTCTGTTATCTAACAGTAGTATAAAAAATAACAGTGTGTTAACAGAATTTGCTATGCACCATCTATGTACCATCTATTTACAAGTTTCAGTAAGAAATCAGTCTGTTACGTATATATTACTGTTCATACCCTATAAAACCTTATATGGCCCTTCAAAATAAACAAGTAAAATTAAAATAGTCTGATAAATAAAATTAACAGGCCAAATTTGGTTTGTTACATTAACAACGCCTTTAACAGATTGTTAGTCGTATTTTGTAATGGTGAATACAAAATTGTCAATTTAACAGTCAGTTATGTAGTTAACTCTCTGATAACTATTAACAGGAGAATGGTGCATATGGCCGTAAGCTCACAATAAACAACGTAATATGCCCCGCCTACAAAATACTAGCTGTTGCCACATCTCGTAAAAAATACTTGATATTTAATATACCACTAACAAGTTTTGGAATTTATTGAAAATAATTACATCTAATTTAGTGAAATTATATCTAATTTAGTTAAATTTGATATAACAAATGATTCAACATTTTTTGGGTTCAGTTGCAGTAAAATAGGTTGAATTATTTTAGCTTTTTTAATATATGTAAATAATTGTGTAAAAAAAAACGAGAATAATGAAATAGGCATATGACAACAGCTGATATTATACCCTAGTGTGTCCCTTAGAATATGTCTTATTCACGACAGCACGATATTTGTAAGTAACTACATCTCCTGTTATCTCTGGTTTTATAGCATTGTTGTCCCTTATGTAAGAAACAAGGATGGAGCTAAGGTTTGTTTATAATCTAGGTATTTAATATTTCACTAGGTACAAGGTTTTTAAAATACACCAAAATAATAGGCACATCGGTATTGTTAGAGTCAATAACGCATGTAGAAAAACCTTCCGTTTTAGCACAGAGTGCATGAAGTAGAATTCTAGTGTCAGCTTCTTCATGGTTTGATTCTAATAGTTCTCGATTTTCTTCACAAATAGCAATATTGGAGTTAAAGTCTGTAATGTTATTAAATCCGCCACTCGTTACAAATTGTATCTTATAATCATGAAATCCGTAATCAGGAAGTTTGTTTGATAAAATATCGGTTAACTGTTTATTATTAAATATTCAGTGAATAAATAAATTCCATTGTTGTGGAAACGGGATCTTTTAGTCAGGATTGCATTTTTCTGCTTGATTTTCTATATTATTTGCATTTGAAATTAATTTTCAACTACTTAAATGATAATGTAACTTACTGCGTTCAAGAAAACACGATTTGGTCCCTATATAAGGTCGAATTGTATCAGATAAGGATTCGGTGATACTTAAACCATATATCAAAAGCGATAGGATCAAGGGCATCCCCCATCCATAAGCCATGTAACCTAAAAGTTTCTTTAGATCCTTTTTTCGTTGATAGACACCCAATGATCCAGTCGTGGATCTGCAAAACCAGGAAATAATATAATTATGTTTTAAAATAAAGCAACAATTTTTATCAAAAATAAAGTTTTTCATATATAGATACACTGTATACTCGTAAATTCCAAAATTCAGTACAATAAACGTAAATATTTTTTAATATAAATTCCCTATAATGATTATTCGACGTCTAATTCAAATATTATTTTTGGATTCGAAAATTCAGAATGAAACTTTTGAATGTTCCTCAATTATTATTATTTGATTAGTGATATATCCGGTAGCTATTCTTAAAACATTTGTAGTTTTTAATACGCAATGTTTATTTTAAGAAAACATTGGTTCTAAGAAACAATTGCATTGTATCAAGCATCGGTAAACTTTTCTGTTTATTGGTTCAAAATTGAAATTATTATTATTATTCTCATGATACGTTTACGAGGAGAGTTTGATTATTTGAAAAGAGATCTACTATTGTGAATATGTATTCAAAAAATGATACTATTAACAATCATTTGGTAATAGGAAATTCTCCTATAAAACAAAAATATAAAAATAATAACAGATATCAAAAATAAACATTCTAGCAACCAACCCTTCAATAACTCTTTCATTTATTACAATTTTGACACCTCCTTTACAAACTACACAAATAAATAGATGTGCTGGTGATTGATGAACAAAACAAACAATTGGTTAAGGGTAGCCGATTGATAAAGAATAAAAGGTCAGACGTGGTGGTATATTTCAAAAATAGAAAAGTAGAGGTCGAAGGACATAATATAGGTTACATCTAACAAACTGTCATTTGTGATTTCCCCAAATATTTCATTGGAGAGTTACAAGAGAGAGGTAGATTCCATTATAGAAGATTGCTGGCAGCAAGGTACGTCATATAGCGAAAGAAAACGTACCCAAGAAAGGGTACCGCCACCATTCACGGAAAAGGTGTTAGAGACGGCTCTGAAAGATATTAAGAAGTTTATTTGCCAGGAATATATCGAAAAGCCCTCGTATATCGCTGCAGGTGTTGCTGTTTGTAGATTTTTCGATTTATATATTTTAAAAGTGTGGGAAATTGTTGAATATTTGAAAAGTGTTTGTTTAGACATAAAAGTCACATTTAGTTTTAAAATTAGATCACATTATTTTGCCTTGGGTAACAATATGTAAGTTTCTTAGCAGGAACTCGCATATTTAATAAAAACAAGAATTTTATACGCTTGCCATGAATTGGCACATCTGTGCTTTAAATATTTATAAAATACACTAGAAAATATAACATTTTTATTATCGTTCGAAAACCATCAGTCTTAAGCTTATATCTACGAAATGGTATTGATAATTACTTAGATTACCATATAAAGCACCGCAATACAGGGTGTCCTATTATAAAGTAACCCAAGAATTTTTCGCTTTAATTGTGAATTACTTGGAAACTATACAGGGTGTTTATTAATTGAGTGTCGATACTTAAGGATGTGAATCCTTAGGTGATTTTAAGAAGAAAAGTTAATATCAACATATGTCGTAACTCACTTAATTTTTGAGCTACAGGGTGTTACAGTTTTAAGAAAAAATTACTTTTTTATCATAATTTTTTTATCACTCCAGATATTTTTATGAAATTTTGTACACACGTTTTTATAATTAAGGGGCATTTTTTGACGTACAAGATTTTTTTAAATTTTTACCAGTGACGTCCGTACGGTGTTTGAACTGAATATTTTTGAAGAAAAAAATGGTACGCCACTGCTTTTTCTGAAAACCAAAATTATTTTTGAAATCATCATTTATTTTGGAGCAAACTTGATTCATAGACTTACTTTCGTACGATGCACCGTTTTCGCGTAAAAAAATAAAAACCATTGTACTGGTTGGTCAAATTTTTTCTTTAAATTCATTGATACCTACTGCTTTTGATATTTTGTTGAAATCTGGTAGGCACCCACCATGCGTGGAAACATTTTTTTGGGACAAAAATTAATTTTCTACGTTTTGAATAGAAAAAAATGGTAAGCGCATTATTGCCCTCTTAAAGCAAATGAAATAAACATTAGTAGGCTGGGTAAAGCGTCATCATTTTTGACGTTCCTTTTCATAAAGACAATAAAGTTGACATTGATTTTACATTATTAAATAATTATTATTAGAGTAAGTAATTATTATTAGAGTAAGTAAATCTGAAAAAAATGGTAAATTTTACGAACAGTGAATTAGCTGACATGCATTTTAGTTATGGGCTTGCAGACGGAAATGCATACGAAGCCAGACGAATATACCAAGAGCGGCATCCAAATGGCGTACTACCCGATCCGAGAACATTTTCTAGGATTCATAGACGTCTTCACGAGACCGGAACTTTAAAAGTAGACTATAGGGCTAAAGGAGTCCATCAAACAGTAAGAACACCGGAACTTGAAGAAGGAATTTTACATGAAATTGAGGAGAACCCCGAAACTAGCACGAGGAGAATCGCGTCAACATTTAATGTTTCACATGTACTTGTTTGGAAAATTCTCATCGAAAATTTGTTATACCCATATCACATTCAAAGAGTCCAGGCATTACTCCCTAGAGATTTCCCGTTGCGCATTAAATTCTGTGAGTGGTTTCTTCAAAACCTGCTGGAAAATCCATTATTTGACAGGCACATTCTTTTTACCGATGAAGCTAATTTTTCTCGAAACTCAATAATAAATTTCCATAATAACCATTTATGGGCGGATGAAAACCCTTATGCAATTGTTGAGTCAAATCATCAAGAACAGTTCTCATTAAATGTTTGGGCTGGCATTATTGATGATTATTTGATAGGCCCATTTTTTCTACCAAGAAGACTTGATGGACAATCATATTTACACTTCCTTGAAGATGATCTGCCGCCAATGCTTGAAGACCTTCCTCTTTTATTAAGAAACCAGATGTGGCTAATGCACGATGGTGCGCCTCCACATTTTAGCTTACGAGTACGTGAATTTTTAAATCACACCTATCGCAATCGGTGGATAGGTCGCGGAGGAACGCAGTCATGGCCGCCTAGATCTCCCGACCTTAATAGTTTAGACTTCTTTTTCTGGGGGCATCTGAAAAGCTTAGTGTACGCAGTGCCGATTCAAACCGAAGAAGAGTTACGAAATCGTATAACAGTCTGCTGCCAAACCATAAGAAACACCCCAGGAATCTTTGAAAATGTGCGTCAGTCTATGCGAAGAAGAGTAGATGCTTGCATACGTGTGGGTGGAGGACACTTCTAACAATTACTGTAAATAATGTGGGTTCTTTATTGTGTTTGTATTCTCTTGTAATTTCGTTTTAGATTCAAGATTTTGAATTTTCATTTTACTATAAATAAATCCCGATTTTTAAAATACTTAGAATTTAAAAAAATCAGAGGTGTACGTTTTTTTTTCTATCCAAATATTCAATATGATGCCTACGTGGCCGTCACTGGTGGAAGTAGAAAATTAATTTTTGCCCCAAAATAAGTGTTTTCGCGCATGGTGGGTGCTTACCAAATTTCAACAAAAAATCAAAAGCAGCTTAAGAAAAAAAAAATTTTGGTTTTTATTTTTTTACGCTAACACAGTGCATCGTACGAAAGCAAGTCTATGGGGCCAAATTTGCTCAAAAATAAATGAATATTTCAAAAATAATTTTGGATTTTAGAAAAAGCAGTGGCGTACCATTTTTTTCTTCAAAAATATTCAGTTCAAACCCCGTACGGAAGTCACTGGTAAAAATTAAAAAAAATATTATACGTCAAAAAATATTCCTTAATGATTAAAAGGTGTTTACAAAATTTCATAGAAATATCTGCAGTGATAAGAAAATTATGAAAAAAAATACATTTTTTTCTTAAAACTGTAACACCCTGTAGCTCAAAAATTAAGAGATTTACGACATATGTTGATATTAACTTTTCTTCTTAAAATCACCCAAGGATTCACACCCTTAAGTATCGGCACTCAATTAATAAACACCCTGTATAGTTTCCAAGTAATTCACAATGAAAGCGGAAAATTCTTTCAAACGATGAAAAACAGATGGTCTGTAGCGTATATGAAGGTTTAATAAATACATTTCCGACAATGCAAGGTGTTCATTTTCAACGAGAGTATCCGTGGCGACAATTGAACGCATTATACGTGAAAAGAAGGTGACTGGGACTGTGCAAGATCCAAAAGTAAATATTATCGTGAACCAAAAAAATTAAAATAAATTAAATTTTGACTGTTAGTATTAATTAACTTTTTAACATTCCATATCTGATACTGTATATCCCCTGTGTATCTATCCTAAGTCTGGGATAATTTCTGCTACTTTTAATTAATTTCAATTGCCAATTTAATATAGTTTAAGACATGGTTATTATTCTAATGCTGTCGGAATTCATGTGTTAATTGATACGTACCCAGCGATATCTTATTTGAAAAATCTTTTTTAACCTTCACATTGTCTATATTTAACAATTATAAAACTGCTTTAAATAATGGTATATATTTATTATGTGTAGTATTTATAACATCACATGCGTCTGCTTTTTGTTGTAATAAAAATCAGTCTCTTTTGTAAAAGTAAAGTAAATTATACCTAGATAAAATTTTTAACATAATAATATAATAGGTAGGTAATAAACAAAAGTTTCTTGATAATTTTGTTAATTTGGTTTTAAATAGTATTCAAATAGATTTTTATGAAAGAATTTAGAACTTAAAATTGGATTATAGTTTCGTTATCAATAATGATATTTAAAAATATTGTTGTTGTACTTTTCTACTATCTATCTCATTATCATTGTAAAAGGAAAAAAAATATCTAAAACTTTGTACGTAGAGAGGGGTTATACGCAGGACCGCCAAAAGCCATGGAGGGGCCCTTGCAAGGGCCCGCCCCCACATATTATAACCTATTTTTTTAACCCGCATACAGTTAACACCCCAGCTATTATTACAACACGTGCATCATCAAGTTAATGACCCACTCATTAATGAAGCCTATAAAAGGAAGAAGAGCTCAAAC